CGCATTGCGTCAGCCTCAGCCTCAGTAGAATGCGAAAAAGATATCTACGTATGCCGCCATACTCGTCGCCCCCTTCGCTCTGCTCCAGATTTCCGGGCTCACCGCGAGTCTCGAAGTTCACACCCGAAGACGTGCCATTGCCTGACCACGTTCTTCCCATTTTCCTGCTATTGAGATTCGCGAGCTTCAAGTTTTGTGAGACGCCATCAACGTAGAGATTTTTTTATCAGAATGCGAACCATGGTAATACAATAGACTCGGCCTAAGCAGTAGCCGATTCCAGTGGGGACTGGATGTGTGAGCCAGGGTTGAAAAATGGAAGGCCGAGAAACTCACCGTTGCTTCCTTCGTTTCCCAGAAATCTAAGCGAACTCCTGTATGAGTTCGATAGATACCGGATAGTTCTGGAACCTACGTGCCCAAGACGGCCAACGCTATGGTCGCCCCAGCGGTTCCGGTCTGGATCGCTTGTGTGACCAGTCTTTTGAGCAGACTAAAAAGGAGAATAACATCCGGACAGTACTGCTCACTCGCAGCTCACCTCCTGGTCTCTTTGAACGATGATTTGACCTTCATCAATTGCAACACAAGGGCCAGCGCAATGGAAACGTCCGTCACGGCTTCGGCGACGAGCCAGATTCTACAATCACATGTTAGTTAAAGTCAAACAGCCCTCGGAAAAGATAAAGAGACATACGTGCCCGGGATTACGGCTTTCCTCCGATCATTATATTGGGGGAAGATCGCGAGCGTTGCGCCAGAGGTGAACGCGCCACCGGCCTGTCAGCGATGGTTGAAATTAGAGTTTACAAGTGTGGGGGAGGAATAGAAGCTTACTGCGACCGTGATGAAGAAGAATAGAATGAGAGTGATGCATTTGTTTTTGGTTCTAGAACGAGTTAGGAGCTGGGCCTCGAAACAATGAGATAACAGCGTACAGGAGCCAGTATCTAGCAACCAGGAAACTTTGGGCCAAAGCGGTCACTACGCCAGTCGTAAAGACGTTGAGCGGCTCAGGCTGTTCGACAACATGCGTTCGATTATGTTTCTTCCAGTAGGACCTGAATGACTTGCCCAATATGAGTTATTCAGATACACCAAATCTCCTGAGAAAAGCGAACTGCGTCAGCGACGGTGGTAGATTCAATGGAAGAGCACACCCCAGTGAGTGATTGTGTACTGCAAATAACATACATTAGTCCCCCGATCCGTTAATGCCGTAGGAGACGCAGATAGTACACACAAGATATACAGCGGAATAGTTTGCGATCATCGACACGGAATCGATCACGATGGAAGAAGATACTAGCAACTACGAGGCGGGACGAAAATTTGAGTAGCATGTTTACACGACCGAAGTATACAACCTTCAACATCCAATTGTCGCGTTTGAAGTGGCGGTAGTAGTAAGCTACCTGGAGCTTGTTTAATAACTCTCCACCATGAACCTTACGCACATACCTGAATGATTTCGACGGCGTACAGAAGCTGGCATCCATAATTGGGGTAAAACGCAAAAGCATGCTAAAATAAATGCTCACTGAACCCGCCCAAGTTCCCACAAGCAAAGCCCTACATGAACGAAGTAAGGCCATGGTTGAAAAATTCAATCAGAATGAATATACCCGAGAATGATGTCCGAATTGAAAGACATCGTAGAAGGGAAGTAACACGATCTGAAAGTGCACGGATAGCGCAATCTCTCAGTCACCCACAATATGGGATCAAAGACTGAGGGAAAGATGTGAAGAAAAGAAGTATATATAATGAACAATCCTAATACACCGATATATGGCAGTTCCTAACACGGATCTGATATGAAGGAAGGAAGGAAAGAAGCAGTTTTCAAAATGAAGGTGCTGATGGTTTTAATATTACACTAGGGCCACGGCCAAGAGCTGTAAGAATTGAGCATCCGGTATGAACGGCTGTACGCGCGGCAGCATGCCGGCTGTTCAGAGTCAATATGCTGTTGAAAAAGCTCTGGCAGAGTAGAAATTCAATCACTGGTACTCAGCAGGGTTCTCATGCGATCGGGAATAATGGGACATTCATTGGTTGCACTGAATTTTCACCCTGTATGGCTAACAGATAACGCGTTTCCGGTACAAGACTGAATATCCGGTGTGGACTTAGCGAAGGATCGTATGGGCAAAGCGGTTGGCGGGGCTGCGCAGTGTGAGAGAGCTCTGTAAAAAATGCATCAGAAGTTATAAATTCTGTGGGCAAGAATCATTGATCAGGCTGAAGGGCTGTTTTTACCCGTTCTCCATCAGCCAATCATCAGCTAGAACGCGCCTTTTCCCTGTGGAAAACCGTGGTTCTCGATACTGAGGGCACCGGTCGGAAGGGGAGAAATCCAGCACTGAGCTTCATCGCCCACCCTTGAATTACCTCCCGCCCATCAAGAACCTGTCGGAACAGAAGTGGCGTGGGATCTATGAGCTCGCGTCAGCCTTTCTGCACTCGGAGAAAGGCAAACTTGATGATATTTTGGCTGATGTGTCGTCCACGGCTGATTCGGAACCAGCTGGCGAGCTCTACGAATCCTCGCTCTGCCATCATTGTATCCGATGACGAGGAGGATGCCGAGGAGGATTCAGTACCTTCCGTGGTACGTGCCGCATTCTCTCGCCTGGGCTATTCACCAATACTTTCAATAGGTGCACGGTGGTGAATAGTAGTCGTGTTTGTGGAATATTTTTGTAGTTAAATTTGTCCCATACATACATGGAATATGGATTCGGCGCTGTTTCTGCCCCGAAACCCCGCCCTACATTTGAGATCTGGGACCGATGGCGTGAAAGATGGCACGGATGGCGTAAAAACAAGATTCTGGCACCAGAAGAATTTAAATGCTCAAGATGGCTGCCAGAATGCTTTCTGGCGCCCGGCATCTTTTTATGGAGCCAGATCAAATTCTGGCGTGATGGCGGTTGGTTTGGCGGAGCTGGCACCAGCTCAGCCAGCTCAAAAACATTTCCCTGATGATCAGGAAAGACGGTTCATGTGAGAAGTGCCTCACAAGGGGCGCGCATGATGACTCTTGCGAATACCCATTTTGTGAATACTTGAAACTCTTGAAGCTCTGTGTCCAGCTCTCTCGGTCAACTTGGAGGGCACGAAAGCCTATTGCGATGTCCCATCAGCGGGTCTCAAGGACTGTTATAGAGAGACGATGGGATGATCCAGTTCCAACTTCCCTATTACCAAAGAGACGGGATAGTTTCCCGCCAATACGTCCGCCACGCGTGAGACACTGATACTGGTTACCTCGGGCGCGAAGCCATGCACGGAGAAGGTGAGGCCTACGAAGAAGCAGATACCGATGGACGGACTTGGTGATATTTATCGGCGCACGTTCGTCGCCGTCGGTTTGCTGACCATTCTGTTCAGGATATAGATATCCCAGGAGATTCGGCAGTGATACACCATATCGGCCAACGTAATTTTGTGCTGTGGAGTGAGAAAGGTGCAAGGCGCATGGGACAGTGGGGCACCGTGAACGTTCTACACGTTCAGACTCCCAGGGTGGACCCAAAAGCCGGGCTCACGGTGGAGGGTGGACGCAAGTTCAACGGCATGATAGTGTGTGCTACGAACGAAAACGAATAACCGTGAAATCCTCGCCTGACAAGTCTTCTCACAGGGTACAATTGAAAGCTCTGGGTCCACGTTGTGGCGGTTCGCTACGCAGATTTGGTCCAGATACTTGAGACGTAAGGCTCTAACCATTTCGTTTTCGTTTGCGCAAACGGGCAAACCAAACGAAAACGTTTTAAAAAACCGTATAAACCGTTTACGAACGGTAATTTTAGAGGGGAAGACTACACAGCTTTCCTAGACAACAATCTGGGAGGTGTCGTCTTGGAATGGGTTTATTGACTGACAATGAGGCGCTGACAATGTTCAATGGGATCTGACCGCGTCCCGTACCTGCCAACTGCCAGTGGACACCATGGCAAAAGAGATTGAGACCAATCCACCTCAGATCCAAGTTGAGCGCTCAGCGGGTGTGCGTGAGAATGATTCGGGATTAGGCATCGCGAGCAAGATCGCAGCAGCGAAGCAGCCTTTGGGGTACCTGATTTCATCAGGACATATTTGTCTAAAAACCGCTCCACATTACTTATATCTCATCTGCAAGACTCGAGACTGGACGGCCAACAAGTTACGCACCGGATCTGATGTGAAGCAATAAAAGTTGGAAATCAATGTCTGTTATTTCTTGGGTCATCTTCGTGACTTGAACGAGAAATTGAGCTACATCATCAGTTTGAATACGAATTCAGCTGCGTGCCGGTCGTGCATTCCGAAACACGATTTGGGCCAATTTTTGCATGCAATAAAATAAATAACACAGAGTTAGTCCGGGAGCATACTGAGTTTACTTAATTCTGTTCCTGGTTGGATGGAGCTTGGTTGAACTTGGCAGCCAGTTTCCTCCTCTCATCTTTGTTCGGTATTAGGAGTATTTTGGGCACGAAAATAAGGCGGGCACGCGATCGAGACAAGCTCAGGAATAGAGTTGCGTAGGTTCGAATTTGAAGTTCACGTTCGTTCGCGTTAGTTGAATCTTGGTTTCCGACGCTGGGATGCCCGAGTGCAGCCGGTACTTCACGGAAGCGGACAGTTCAGAATGGTGTGGAATATATGATCAAGCAGGGCTGAATAGATTATTTGAGGCAGGGCAAAGTTGGGTTTCCCTTTGATCCAAATTCCACCGGGGTGGTAAGTTAAAGGCAAAAGCCAGTAGTAGATACAGGACGCCATAGTGATATTACCCAATGGACGGCCGAACGGACTCGAACGTGTCATTGAGTGGGAATGCGAATGAGCATAATGAAGAACAAGAGTATGAGCCCGCACCGCGAGGAGGGGCTTAAGCAGGAGGCAGAAGATACATATATTTATAAAATTTCCCCTGTGCAGCGTTTTCCTTTGATTTCAGTATCAGTACCGTGCTGATGGCTATGATAGAGCAGCAGCAAGAATCCATGTCTTGACTAGTATATCGGTTAGTACACGCGCTTGTCATTCCGCTATCTTCTATTTGATTTCGCGCGAAAGCTGGGTTCGACTCCCAGGTCGAGAGTTTCTTTTTGCGTTTAGTTTAGTTTGGGGAGGTCTTTTCTGTCTGCCCTGCACTTTTATTTATTTATGTAGATTAACCCTGCCATGTACCCAATGCAATTTCGGCCCTGTGTTCCTGTCCTTTCCTGCGTAGATACAGTGCGTATGCGCAATGAGCCAAGGCTTCGGGCAACAAGACCACACAATGGCTTTACCGCGCGCCAACTACGACCCACGGCGGGTGTGCCTGAACCCGTTCCCCGACGTCGACTTTGGCAAGTATCGCCGTCCAGTGGGCGTCTACCTCGCCGGGGGCCTCGTGCGTCTCTCCCGCGCCCTTGTTGCTATGCTGACACGCCCGCAGTTCGCACTCGCCAACTGGCTCTTCCTCGACGCCGTCATCCTCTCCGCGCACGCCAAGGCGCCCTGGGGCCAGCCCGACACGCCCGTCCCCGTGCGCGTCACCTTCGTCGACTGGCTCCCGGGCCTCTGCTCCCTGCTCGGCTTCCTCGTCATCAACCTCATCGACAAGGACCGCGTGCGCGGCGAGGACACATTCGGCGACGCGCGCGCGGTGTGGCGCGCCCGTCTGTTCCTCTTCATCGGGTTTGCGCTCATGGCGGGCGGGATGGCGGGCAGTGTGGTGCGTCCTCGCCTTCTCCTCTCCCTTGTAGTAGGATGCTGCCTGTCCTAACGCACACACAGACCGTGTTGGTGATCAAATACGTACTGCCCGACCACGCGGCGCAGTTCAAGTACTACGGCTACGCCAGCGTCGGGCAGAACCTCGCGCTCATGCTTTCTGTCGTGCTTCTGTGGCTCGCGCAGAGCGCGAGCGGGGAGTACGAGTATAATGTGACGCTGTGAGGCAGCGTGCACGCGCTCGGCGATATAAGAGCGGCGGAGATGATGTACGTGTCTAGGGTGTGCGGGGCAGGTGTACGACTCGAGATGCGCGTGCTGGAGGGGGTGTGTGATTTATATGCTATTTCTTTCTTTGTACACCCGTGGCCGGGACTGATATTTAGGTACTGTGTACATCCGTGCGTTGGAATGTAAATGCTATCCTGGTGTTGTTGCTATAGCTCATCCTCACCACCCCACCTCACCTCACCTTTCCGTTCGCAAGCAAACGTGCTCGGTCCTCCAGCTGTGCGTTCTTGTGTGCCCCCGCCCGTCTTTTTCCCTTTCCCTTTCCCTCCTCTGGACTGGTTGGTCTGCGTGCATGTGCATTCTCTGCGGTCTTTCGTCTACTGTACCCCATGCCTACTGCCCCTGCTCACCTGCCTACCTATCGACCAACCGACCGAACGATTCCACACACACATCGCATGGTATATCATATACGCAATGCATGGTGTATAGCTACTGCGCTGCACGCGCGCGATGTCGTTCCCGTCCCGCGCTGCGCCACGCTGGCGCCTTGCGTCCGGCGCTACGCCTCGTTGCGCCTCGTTGCGCCTGCCGTGCCTCGGCGTGGCGTGCGCCGCTGTGTCCGCTCTGCTCCGGCGTGGCGCCATGGTGACGGTGCCGTGCGTGTCGCGTCGCGTCGCGTCGTGGCGGTCGTCCCCGCCTCGCTCCTTGGCTTCAGCCTTCGTGTCATCTCGTTGGCTTGTTCGCATATGCTTCATCTCTCTCTCATACAGACGCAAAGTTTCCCATCTCTACTCGTTTATAATCCTCCGAGTCCGATCTTAGATTATCCTGCCTCATAAACACCTCACGCATCATTAAGGTGCAGTACAGTACAGTACAGTACAGGAGTTCCTTGTTAGCTTGAGGGAGGATGTATCCGGAATAGTTTCAAAGTTACGGAGAAGAGAAGAGAAAGGGATGAGGCGGCTAAACGTAAAAAGTAAAACTGTATTCAAAACAAAAAGAACTCTCGACCTGGGAGTCGAACCCAGCTTTCGCGCGATAGAAGGACTGTTTAAACACCATGACAAGCGCGTGTACTAACCGATATACTAGTCAAGACATGGTGAGTGGAGGCTTATGATGGGTAGTAGGCTCTTACCAGTTACCACTAGTGGCGGCGTTGGGCCGCTCGCGGATTTGTATGTTGATACCGAACTTGAAGGCAAAGCCAAAACAGAAAATAAAAGTAAAAGTAAGAGGAAATGGTCAAAAGAAAAGAGACTCTCGACCTGGGAGTCGAACCCAGCTTTCGCGCGATAGAAAGAATGAACATGGTCATGACAAGCGCGTGTACTAACCAATATACTAGTCAAGACATGATTAATGGAAGTCCATGATGGGTACCAAGCGCTTAGCACCAGCGGCCGGGCATTGGACAGGTCTAAGGATGACTGCTTCCGCATAATGCCGGCGGATTTAAATTTGTATATAGATACAGAAGTTGACGCCAAAGCCAAAACAAAAAGGAAATGGCGAAAAGAAAAGAGACTCTCGACCTGGGAGTCGAACCCAGCTTTCGCGCGATACAAAGGAAGGAGCACGGAAGATGACAAGCGCGTGTACTAACAGATATACTAGTCAAGACATGATGAATGGAGCTCTGTGATGGGTAGCAAGCCTTTACCACTAGTGGCGGCATTGGACAAGTCTAAACGATGACCGCTTCCCGCGGATTTTTATGTAGATACCGAACTTAAAGGCAAAACCAAAACAAAAGTAAAAGTAAAAGATAAAAAGAAAAGACTCTCGACTCCCAGGTCAAGACTCGAACGCAGCTTTCGCGCGAACCAAAATGGAATACATACTAAATGGTAAAAAGAAAAGGGACTCTCGACCTGGGAGTCGAACCCAGCTTTCGCGCGACAATAGATGATAAAGAGCCTCGATGACAAGCGCGTGTACTAACCGATATACTAGTCAAGACATGTAAATATCACTTCTACGATGTCATGGATTGACTGACACCTTGACAACCCTTCCTTCCTCCAGCAAGTTTAATTCAGACTGTGCGAGCGGGTGGCGAGTTCCATTCTGCTTCGTCACATGCATGTAGATAAGTATTCCAAGTATTTCAGCCAACCAACCCCCAAGACTGGGAGTGCCCACAGGTGATTATGGGAAGATGAACTTGGACTTAGAAATATTGATCCGGATTATAATATAATGATACAGTCCGGACAGACAAGGAGTGTGGGCCTGGCAGTGGGGCTTGGACCTTGGCGCATGAAATATTTCATTCATCAGGTAAAAATAAAAATAAAAAATCACGGCGTCCACTTTGAGTGTGGGACATACAGTATGTATTATAACACAACCGTATGCAATGCAGAAAAAGTTTGCCGAAAGTCGAACCAAAGGAATAGCTCAAAGCGTGCGCGTGAATACCGCGATGTAGGTGTCATATTTAACTGCGATGCAAGCGCCGTGCTCATACTCTGGTTGCATATTTGAATTTTTCACACACGCAACACCGACACAATGTTCACCGCCATCCCCGGGGAGTCCAGGCGGTGATCCTCCGAAAGGGAATAAGTTTCCACTAGGCGGCTTCAATGAAATTTGGCTGGGATCACAACCGTGAGGCTTGGGATGGTTTCTTGAGCTACAGATCAGATTATACCGGTTTCGCAACTAGACAGGTACGACAATTCGACGATTTATGATTTTTTGTTTCGATTCCGGAGTATTTCAAGGTGCTAAAAACTGCGGAATGATTAAGGTACTAGTAATGAAATCAATATTGTTGAAGAAAAGCCGCCGTTCGCTTATCTCCCAGAATTCCATAGTGACCAACGCCCGTGATAAAATCTTGTTTAACGGGCTTCCGACACTGACCAGCGCCAAGGTCCCCCCAGTCGCGACGCACAGTATCAGACATCGTCGCTGCCACGCCGAATTCAGCCGTCAACGCGCTGAGAGGCGCTTTGACGGAGGAAAGCCAGTCGTTGATTGTCTCCGCGTACTCGCTGGCCGACATAGGAACGTTGGGCGGAAAAAAGTCGCCCAGGAAGTTGGCGAGAGACTGAATCATTCGTTTGCCAATCGCAAGAGACTCTAAGTCAGCATGCTTTGCTGAAGGCGAGCCTGCTGATGCTGCCTCAAATTCCTTCAGTCGATCGCTCTCTGGACCGTAGAGGGGATCGTAGCGAAGCAGCTGGACTGTGTTTTCGAAGGTGGAGTCGGCGGAGAGTCTTCTTTCTCTCAACGAGGCCTGGATCGGCTCCCTGGTCCACAGAAGGGGGAAATGGTCGATGAAGGAGAGCTGTATGACTTGTCCACCGCTCTCTTCCAGCAGTTTGGCGACGGCGACGACGACGACACTTGTCCCGGAATAGCCCGTCAGGCGATACGGACCGTGGGGACGCTTCTCACGGATTTTGTCCGCAAAGAATGCGGCCTGGGCAGAGAACGGAGAAATAGGGGTGGAATCCATGATCTGAATCCCCCAAAGCGTGCCGGAAAAGTTGGCTCGAAGGGCCCTGGCGGCATCGATGGTCCCCCTAATGCCCGGAAACATAATCAGAGGGATTCCTCCGTCCGAACGCAGCTCCACGATGGTCTCCGACGAGGACAAAACACTGTAGTCTGTCCCGGGGCCCGTCTGAATTTCGGTATCCGTCAAATTTCCACCCACTAAACCTTCGAGAAAAGAGGATAACTGGGAAATGGCAGGACGAGAGTAAACAAGGTTCTGCGGGATCGCGGCGGCGGCGTTCCCGAGGTCTCGAGATCGCAAAGCGTTGATGATGTGGAGACGAAAGATGGTTGCCGTCAAACTGAAAATTAATTCAGCATACGCAACAACAAAAGATTGATGCTCAAACCTGTCAAATCCCTGCTGGCGAAGGTCCACCGTTGGCGATATTTTAGTGAAATTGCAGATGCTCGTGGCGACCTCAAGCAGCCACGATTGAATACTCGTCGTCACCCAAACGGTCGGCGCCTCAATCGAATCAATGGCGTTGAGTTGTTCTTCAACCGTGTTATAACTGCAATTCATTAGCATGAATACCGCGCGGGAATTGCGATGCTCACATGGCGTCAATTTCCGTCGCATATAGGCTGATCGCAGCCTTGCGCAGAACCGTGCCTTTGGCTGCGCGAGGGAGGGGTTTGTCCGGGGAAGCGAACAATATCATCTCTTTGAAAATCCGGCTAAATCCTGGCGCAATCGCGTTCGCTTGTTCAATAACGGGCCTAGAATCAATACCTCACAATTTAGTGGCACACATTGGTGGGAGGTTTATATGTACCAAAGGGTGTTTCTTAGATCGGCGAGTTGAATTGGATCCTTGACATCGATATGCAGTTCTGCGGGTGTTTCAATGAGTATTCCCGTCTGTGCGCGCTCGTGTCCAAATACAACAGCTGCATTGACACTGTTACAAATTTCCGTATGCATTGAGCCCTGTGCAAATCAACGAAAATAAGACGCACATCGAGCTACCAGTGATGATATTTTCCATGGGGGCGGGGACCGTCTTCTCCCCCGAAGTGTGGATAATTGTATCATCGAGGCGCCCAACACTGAATCAATCCGCTTAATTCGACTGGCCATTCTCGTTCTTTTACGTACAGTCGCCACAAATGCTTCTTCTCCGGGTGGTTCACGCAGAGATCAGACGTCGCGTAGCCTCTGGGGTTTTCCAGATTTTGCACCATCGGAGCCCAAGTCTCTGATGTCTGCGGAAATTCAACGTTTAATAGGAGACGCGTTGAAAATGCAACGAACGAGAATTTGGCATTCAAACGTCCCGTCGCCCTGCGGCACCCATTTCACGTTCAACAGGTCCGAGGTCCGGAACCACCCCCAGTCCTTTGCATCCTCATCGTAGGGCCAGAGAGCGGCAATAGTTCCTGTCTCAGTAGCTCCGTACCCAGTGAGAAGATGCACTCCTGGATTCACCAGGCCGTCTCCGATTCGCTGCGGGAGTGGGCCGCCCCCCCATATCTAATTAGTTGCATTAAAATCAAATATATATGTGGAGGAATACTATACGCACTATCGTATGGAGCGTCGTCAGATATGCAAGGGAATCAGGGGAGTCGAACCAGGTAACGAGGAGGGTAGAGACGGTCGTGAGCGACCTGCACTTTGTCTTCCGCGCGTGTTCCAAGATGTTATCGGGTGACGGGAGCATGGGAAAGGCACTCGGAGAAGTGGCAGTCGGCGGATACACCGCGACGCAGATCCCAGAGAGGGGCTCCAACAGCTGGCAGGAGATACCCAGGACGTGGAACGGCGGAAGCCCCATGTTCCCTATAGGTGTTTCGACGTGGGTTCGCACCTCGGCGACTCTAGCTAGATGAGGGAGCTAATGATGAGCGAATAAGAATCAGGTGCCACTATCGACGAACAGGAAATCCAGTGCGCGAATGCTCGATGCGTCTGGGCAATGGCCTTGGGAAACCCAGTGCTCCCCGAGGAATGAATGTACATGAAGACGTCGTCAAAATTTGCGCTAATTTGTGGCCTGGGATAAGGTTGGAATGCATGGTCCGGGGTTTCCGCGCCGATATTGGGATAAATTTCCTGGAACGACGGAACTTCTTGGATGTCCAACGCGAAATCAACCTCCGCAAGATGCCTCTGAAGTCGAGCCAAAAGAGGTGATAAGGTGACACGGGTGGCTAAGATGTGATAGCAAGATGAGGCGCGCAAAAGCTGAAGGATCGCGGCTGCTGAATTCCTAGGAGAAATGGGAAATGACTGATTGTCCAGACTTGAGAATAGAATGTCGACATAGAAGTTAAGCGCAACGTACGATGAAATTCGCGGTCATGAGGCCGACCAGAATGGCATGGTACAACATAGTATCTGACTCGGCAAGAATGGCGACCACTTTCCCGTCTTGACCTTCACGATTTGGACGTAGGACATGGGCAGCGCGGTGAGTGGCGCGACCGAACTCCAGATGCGTGATGGTGACAATTTCGTTGGATTCCAGATCCGCATAGATGTAGAATGGATCCGAGGGAATCTTGTCCAAGTTCCGCGCAACAAGGGTAGGGATGGTTTCAGGGCTCAGGGAAGAGGGCATGGCCGGCGCTGGGAGAGCAGCAACTGTGACGTCCGACAAGTATTCATCGATCTTATTCCTTATTTCTCATCGGATGCCCGACGGCTGATGCAGCGGGAAGATGCGGTACTGCATCAGGGTCGAAGCTGTCTTGGGGATGATTCAATTGGTGAGGCTGATGGTACTGTTGTATTTCGTTCAATTCATATAGTCACATGTCACACAGCCGAAAAATTCCGAAAAATTTCATAAGTCACTGGGTCACAGAGGCAATTTGAGAGCATTTGGGAAATGGAAATCCCATGTCCAATGGGATGATCGGTGGGATGCGGATGGGATTTTTTGGACATTCCATCAGCGGCTGACTTCGGCACAGTGGTACAGAACACAGCAATACGAAACAACAACTGCGATATTTGTACTTTAGAGTGAGACCTACACCCTAGCTCATAGCCCATAAATCTGCGTCAATGGAGACCAATGAAGAAAAAAATGGAAAACCACTAGTCATTGCAACAACAGGACGCATCAAAATTCCCGTTGCGCGCCTCGGGACGATACTTCAATTTGATAAGCTGGGTTCCGCAAGCCATTAAGGCCTATCTGCTGTGAGGATAACATAACTAAGAGAGGCAGATATAGAGGGAGACCCCCGCGCCAGCACCCCTATTTTGTTTGGTGTTCTGGCGTTCGCGCATCAAAATTCTATTTCGGCTTATTGGGTGCCGATGGGATTGATGGTGGTATGTTTCATGGGATTTCCAACTCCCGAATTTCCTGGGCAATTTTGACTCTTGAGCTTAGCCCGAGATGGCCGAGATTAGCCGAGGTTAGCCGAGCGCTGCCGGCGGATAAAAATTCCCGGTTTGGATGCCATACGAAAGCACCCCAACCCTCGTACGA